GACCACTGCTGGAAAGTATTGGGAGGCTGAATCCTTCATTCCTGTTGGGGATGGTGAATGGAGATGATTTGCCGGGGATTTCCTCTTTCAGTTTGAGGATATTCTATTGGGGATTGACTCTGCTTGAGAACTGATTCTGCTTGAGAATTGATTATGCTTGAGACTAGATCTGTGGAGAGAGATGTTTGTTGAAAGATTATGCCGATGTAGAGAAATAAACACTGTTGAGGAATGAACTTCCGTAGTCTGAGAAACAAACTCTACCTGGGAGGAGGTTTTATAACTGTTTGAAATTATAAAGCTCGGCTGGGGAACACAAACTTTAGCTCTCTACTGGAGGAAGTTTGTTGGAGGAGATAATTCCTGCTTGGGGGTGAAGGAGTCAAAACTTTTGTTTTTTCTACTTTGTGGGGAACACATGTGACACAGGATCATATGTAGTGGTGGCTTCGTTTCAAATTATCCCTGCCCGTGTACTAGGCTGGAAAGAGTGACTGTCGGGACTACAAATTGGTTTTTAGACTTTGTCCTGTTTCTTAAAGTCATCAGCAACCGTCTTTATGTTTTTTTATGCAAATATTTATGAACAGTCATCATATTCAAATGCATATGTCAGGAATAAGTCATCGGACGTCTTTGCAAAACAAAACAAAAAAGAAAAATAAATAGTTTTGTACTTTTAAAGAAATGATTTGTATTAATTTATGAAGTTTGCCTATAACAGGTGTTTTGTACAAAGAGGCTGACGTTCTAGTAGGAGAACACTGCCGTAAGAAGTGAAAACTATACAAAATAGTGTACAAAGAGAAGAAAACAACTATTTTCAATAATCCCATTAGGTTTCAATTCTGCTATTGCCCCTATGTCTTCGAGTGTCTCATTATTTTGATGCTTGTCCGAAGCTGACTGGATTTGTCGGTACCGTTTGAGCTCGATAGTTGATACTGAAGTCTAGTCGCAAGGTGATTTAATGGGACATAGTGATACGCTTCAAATCCCTAACTTTTTCCTGGACCGCCCTTTCGGGTTTTCAGTCCACCGGGATACCCTTTTTTACCCAAGCTTCCTTTTCAGGTTTTCGACTTGCCGGGTGTACAAATTTTTGTTTTTTATCCCTAATTTTTACCCGAACCCTTTTGGTTCACCGGGATGCCTTTATTTTTTCCTAGGCCAGTCAACCTAGCGGGTCTTTATTTATGCGTAGTTTCTTTTCACTATGTCTGCATTAACGGAGTGAGGAAGGTCATCACCATCCATGGTGGTCAAAATGATGGCTCCACCTGAAAATATGCTTTTGATCATAAATGGCCCTTCGTATGTGGGAGTCCATTTGCCCCTGGGATCACCTTTTGGCAGTATGATGCGCTTCATTACCAGATCACCCACTTGATATACTTGACGTCTGACCTTTTTTTTGAAAGCCTTGATCATCCGTTTTTGATACATTTGACCATGACAGACAACAATAGGCCTTTTCTCATCAATCAAATTTAGTTGATCAAGTCGAGTCTAGATCCAATCGTCTTCGTTCAAGCCTGCATCTTTCATGATCCTCAAAGAAGGGATCTGGACCTCAATAGGCAAGACAACCTCCATACCATATACCACAGAATAAGGTGTTGCCCCTGTCGATGTGCGTGCTGAGGTTCAATAACCATGAAGAGCAAATGGTAACATCTCATGCCAATCTTTGTATGTCATCGTCATTTTCTGTACGATTTTCTTGATATTCTTGTTGGAAGCCTCCACAGCGCCATTCATCTTTGACTGGTAAGGGGAAGAATTATGATGCTGGATCTTGAATTGCTTATAGAGTTCGGTGATCATTGTTTTGTTGAGATTTGTACCATTGTCTGTGATGATTCTCTCAGGGACACTATACTGACAAATCAGGTTGTGCTTGATAAACCGCGCCAAAACATTCTTGGTAACAAAAGCAAAAGAGGCAACCTCAACCCACTTCGTGAAGTAATCAATGGCCACTTAGATGAAGCGATGCCCATTGGAAGCGGTAGGTCTAATCTCTCCGATCATGTCAATACCCCACATTACAAAGGGCCAGGGAGCCGTCAAGACATTCAAAGGAACCGGAGGTACATGCACCTTATCAGCATAGATCTGGCATTTGTGACAAGTTCGAGAATGCTGATAACAGTTTGCTTCCATAGTGGACCAATAGTATCCCGCCCGTAAGATCTTTTTAGCCATAGTGTGTATCCTAGAATGGGTGCCAAAGGTACCTTCATGTAGATCTGCCATAATTCTTCCTGCTTCGCTCTTGTCTACGCACCAAAGTAAAGTAGAGTCATGATTGCGTTTGTAGAGAATCCAATTACTGAGGAAGAACTTCGCGGAGAACCTTCTCAGAAACTTCTTATCATTGACAGACGCCCCTTCAAGATATTCTTGAGCCTCGAGATGCCTTTTCACTTCATGGAACCAAGGTTTGTATGCTACCTCTTCAGTTCCAATCTCGTAGCAATATGCCGGTTCATCCAACCTTTCAATAGTGACCCGAGGGGCCTTGTTATCCCACCTGACCTCGAACATAGATGAGATGGTAGCTAGCGCGTCTGCTAACTGATTCTCTTCTCATGGAAAGTGTTCAAAGGTGACCTCTTCAAAGTGTGGGAGCAGTGTCAGCACATATTATTTGTAAGGGATGAGATTCGGGTGCCTCGTATCCCACTCACCTTTGATCTGGCTTATTACCAAGACTGAATCCTCGAAAACGCTCAAGAACTTGATCTTCAGGTCAATAGCAGCTTTGAGACCCATGATGCATACTTCATACTCCGCCATATTGTTGGTACAGTTAAAACATAATCTGGCAATGAAAGGAGTATGACAACCCTCAGGAGATATAATTACAACACCAATGCCATTGCCGAGTGCATTGTAGGCTCCATCAAAAACCATAGTCCATCGGGATCCTTCTTCAAATCCTTCATGAAGTCTCCATCGAGCGTTTTTTATCCCACATGAAGAGATAGGTAAACATCGAGTAAACCTGAGAAGGGAGAAGTCACGGTCTTGCGATTGAGAGATCGAGTAAGGGAGTCTGTTACGCGAGGGGAAGGTATTAGCACCCCACACGCCCGTAGTACCCTACGGTATCCACTCTTGTTGTTCTAATCAAAGGGTGTGTTTCAAATCTATATCTAAACTGTACGGGAGATGCATGCAAAATAAAAGAGAAAAGAATGTAGGGAACATGAAAAGTTGTGCTCGCTCGGGCCCTACCCCAATGCCTACGTATCCCTTTTAAGGAATCAGAGCAGCCGTAGTTCGGCTTATATGTTTTTGTTGGTTTGTATTTTTTATTGAACAGTATTAATTTCGCCTTCTGCCGCAACTCGACCTTCGGAGACTTACGCGTTAGCACAAAAGTGAATTAACATGCTCTTCTGAAAAACTTTTTGGAGAAAATGTGCCTGGGCGCACAAAAAGCTTGAATTTGTTCGTGTTTTAAATGAACGATATTAATCTCGCCTTCTGCCGCAACTCGACCTTTGGAGACTTACGCGTCAACACAGAAGTGAATTAGTATGCTCTTTTTGAAAAGTTTTGAAAGAAAGGCCTGAAGGCAAAAAGAGTTTTTGTATTTGTCGGTGTTTTTGCTTGTAGGTAACAGCTAGTTGACCTCAAGAGAGATATTTTAGCCATTTCTATACTTATTCATGAAATGAGTATTTGAGACTTGAACCATGCCGAGGCTTAGAATAAGAGAACAATAAGGTCGAGAAGAAACCCGCTTATCGTCTCACAGACTTAACGAATATATGATTCTTGTCAGTAATTTTTTTTTAAGTATTTTGAAGTTTGTAAAAAAAGAAGAAATTTTTGTTTTAAATGCATATGCGAAAAGAAAAAAGAAAAGTCAAGGGAAGACTAGCCTATTTCTAAACCTAATGTTATCATGCGTTGTTAGACCTAAGTCAATGATGAATGAAAGGGAAACATCTACCTAATGTTAGTATGCATACGGTTTGCAATAAAGCCCCTACTTCTCATGATTTTTAGAAAGCGGTAAAGTACGGAGATGAAGAATAAAATATAGTTGTGACGATACCAAACGGAGGTCCGTTGCCTCTTCGAAGCCACACAAGTGATAGGAAAACTCTACAGAAGTTACTCCGCATGAGTCATCAAAAATTAATCTCCCAGCATTCCACATTGCAAAAGTTACATCAATCGTTTTTATCACAAAATCTTAGCTCAAAAAAAGTGACAGTGAAAATGATTATTAAACACAAAAATAATAAAAAAAACTTTAATAAAATTCTAAAGAGAATCTAAAGATATTTCCTAAAATATTCTACTATTTTTGTATCATTTTTTTTTTCAACAAAAAAAAAATATGGAAAGAAAATTGATGTAGAAATCAAATTCCAAAACATTGGGGGTGCAGAATTTTGGCCCAGGGGTGATGTATAACAAACTGGGCGTTTAAGCCCAATTAGTAAAGCCAAGGAGTAGTTTTTGTCAAGTTGCATGCTCAAAAAATTAACGGCCTTCGGCAAGGGAGTGGAATCCGGTGCCAGCTATACCTAGTTCAAACAACACTTTACCTCTTCCAGCATTTTATTATTACCTTTTATTAACATTGAATAAAAAAAAGGAATAACACAAAAAATAAAATAAAAATGTTGCGTATTGGGGTTAGGGATTTAGGGTAAATCTTTGTGATGTTTCAACTTCTGTTCCGAAAAGAAAATCATCATTCTCTCTTAAAACTCAATGTTCCCGTCTTTCTTCCTCAACTTCGCTGCCGTGCCGCCATCTCTCTCTGCTTCCGTGAACGCCGTCTTCTCTTCTTCGTCTTCTTATGCAACACGCGACCGCGATATTCAACTAATTCTCGCTTCGTCTCAATCTCGCATCACTGCGCTTAATTCGTTCGTCTCCTCTCTGATTTTGTTTCAAACAAACGAACACACACAGTAAAAGGCGATGAGAAGAAAACAAATACAAGAACCTTAATTTCCAGAGAACGTCCGATGCTTCTTCAAGGCGACGAATCAGGTATGCGATTTCATTTTTCTTTTCCTCTTCATCTTCTACTTTGCTTTCTGATTTGTGCGTATCTGTCTGCATGTTATTACTCAGTGCGGTTTTTTTTGAATCCTTGTGTGAAGTTGTTTCGGATCATTGATGCGATGAATTCGTTGTTGTTGTGATGTTGCAGAAGCATATCGAAGTTTGTTGAAGAACAATGTAGTAGTTTGAAGAAGATTAATGATGATACGATGAATGTATGAAGATGATGATTAGAGTGAAGCAGGAGATTGGCGAGAATTTCAGAGGGAGAGAGAATTCTTGTGAAGATTTCTTGGTGGTCATGGAGAAGGAAGCAAAGGGGAGATGGTGGAGAAGAAGTGGTTATTATTGAATGATAATTGAAGGAGATGAAGATGAATTCAGAGGGTGAATATGGAAGAGGGTGCGGAGAGTTTTTTTTTGTTGCAGGAGGTTAATGCGGTTTACTAAATGCTGATGAACATAGGAAATGATAATGATGTGAAGAAGACGACTTACACAAAAATGAATCATTCTGAAGCTTGAAGCAAAAAAAAAAGGCTCAACAATTTGCAGAGAAAAATAAAGGTAAGCCTTCAAGCTTTTTCTATGATCTTTTTTTTAAGTAATGAATTCTGATCTTCTCCCTGAAAACTGGATCCCCCCTGTTATATAGATTTTCTGTAGAGTTGGTTAGAAGATGGGATTTGGAAATTTTGTTTGTTTGGTTCTAACTGTTTACAGGTTGTTAGCGGTTGTTTTAGAGTTTGTTATAGACAGTTAGGGGCTTGTAGAGGCAGTTAGAAAACTGTTAGCATTATGTTATGGGCGAGAAGGTTAGAGGTTGGTTAAGTTAGTTAGATGTTAGTTTAAGAGGAATTCGGTTAGTAGGTTGTTAGTAAGTTGATTACATCTGTTCTTTGTGCTACTACAGGTTATGCAAACTGTTTTGATTTTTGCTTTGCATCTTTTATTCCTACCGAAGCATTCCGTCGCAGCAGATTTGTTATAAAAGGAATGGCAGGTGGATTTGATAAAGGTTAGCTACCTACCTTTTAACTCAGTTATGGACAGTTAGTAGTTTTAGTTATAAAATCATGTTCTGACAGTTAGGATCAACTTGTATTGGTTTGAAATTAGGCTCATCATAAATCCTGTTAGCAATGCTGTTTTGAATTCAGAGGAGTCAGGAATGAGCTAAGTTTGTTAATGTAGGGTAGTTATGGTCTGGTATAAGGTTTGGTTGGGCGGAAATTCTGGTATATAGCCTGGTTTTGGATGGTCATGAATTGCTAAATTCTAAACGTGCAGGATTTATCTCGGCAACTGTTTTAGCATAGTGTAGATGGCATCTTCGCGAATCTTCTTTTCTGAACTGGTTTTGTTTGCAAGTTGGTAAACTATTTTTCTGATTGAACTTATGAACTGCTTATGTGTTGTAAAGTGCAGGGTCGGAAAACCTTGGAGCCGGGACATGAAACCTATCACAGCAGCAATTTTGTGCAGGGTTGAATCAAAGTTTGACAAAGAGTTTGGAGGTTGCAAAAATGGCACCATGAAGTCATAACATGGAAAATAATGGAGCTAACGTTTAGGCAAGATAGATTTAGTGGAGCTTTGTGTAATTTACAAATTTTTTGTAGTTCTTTTGGAATGTAATATGAATTTGTAAATTCAAAATGAATCGCTTAGAAACATTTACATGATATGATGCCTAAAAAATGGTTAAATGAACATGAATTTTCGAGTGAACATTGAACGATGAATATTGAGATATTGAATTTGAATGACGTAAATGAAGGTTTGGAGTGTATTTGGATTGATTTTGAACGGTATTTGAATGACACTGAAAGTGACAACTTGAACCAAAATAACCACTTGAATGGAATTATAATGAATGACTATGCCTTGCCATTTTTATCTTGTCTTTTGCATTCCAAGAAACCCTTATGACTAAGGTCTCCAAACTCGCATGAATCAAATTCTCGAAAACAAACCAACACTTAGATTTCTTTAATACCATTTAATTGTTCTCTAAACACTTCACTTCATGACTCAGTGAACGAATTTCAACCAACTTGCATATTCAATGAACCAGTCCTGAACTCAAGATATGACACAACATTTAATCGAATCAATAATATTCCTGCATGAACTCAGTCAAGAAAACAACCTCTCCATGTCGAATTTGCCCAAAATCAAAGCCTTTATTCATATTCTCCTGACTCAATTAATGCTCTCTAGCATCATATTTTGTATTGTGCTTCAACTTTTGGAATTCAAGTCACAAACATGTCCACTTGAAAACGTAAGGCTAAAATCCTTAAGAAATTCCCTTGAAGATGATACTTCCTGACGCACAATATAAGGCTTTCTGAGAAAGTCCCTTGATAAGAACAAACTCTAATCTCATGATCTTTGATGAAAAACTCGATTGGAACACAATTTCCAAAAACCTGGCTTTGATCACATATGGGGAAATAAACCCTGATAGCCTCGCGGCTTGATGAAGAAAGATATCCTCAACGACCAAAGTCACAACCCTAATTCCACTGCTCACTACCTGAATAAGAAATCAATCTTTATTGGATACGAACTCCTTAACCATTGCGAAACCCTAATATCACATAACCACTAAAATTTGAACCTCAGAGCTATATTGAATGAAATGTATGCCATGTTAGTGACCTAATGGAATAGATGCAGATGAATGCAAAAGTCTAAGCCAAAATAAAAGAAATTAGGAGGGAAAATTTTGGGGTGCAACAGCTGCCCCTATTTAATCGCCTTCAACCTAAAGGTGAAATTGGCACCAACCTTTTGAACCTTCAACGGTGGAAGAAGATTAAATACTTAAAAAAACCCGAAAATTTGCGCTCCGAAGCCAGTCAGGTATTATTATATTTTTTGTTTTATTTTCTTGGATTGCAGTGGTTAGCTGAGAAAATCTCTTGGATGTCAGGTCAAGGTTAGACATACACAAGAAAGAGACCGACCGAAGAAGGCTCTGACGAAGGAACACCAATCGAAGGTGAACTTACTGAGAAAAAGAGACCAAACGAGTGGGACTTCTGACGAATGATACCAGTCGAAGATGGATTTTAACAAATGATATCAGCCGAGGCGAGATTTTGAAAGATACCAGCCGAAGCGGGATTTTGAAAGATACCAGCCGAAGCGGGATTTTGAAAGATACAAGCCGAAGCGGGATTTTGAAAGATACCAGCCAAAGCGGGATTTTGAAAGATACCAGCCGAAGTGGGATTTTAACCAAGGATACCAGCCGAAGCGGGATTTTAAAGGATACCAGCCGAAGCGGGATTTTACAAAGGATACCAGCCGAAGTGGGACTTTAAAGGATACCAGCCGAAGCGGAATTTTGAAAGATACCAACCGAAGCAGGATTTTGAAAGATACCATCCGAAGCGGGATTTTGAAAGATACCAGCCGAAGCGGGATTTTGAAAGATACCAGCCGAAGCGGGATTTTGAAAGATACCAGCCGAAGCGAGATTTTGAAAGATACCAGCCGAAGCGGGATTTTGAAAATACCAGCCGAAGCGGGATTTTGAAAGATAAAGGTATGCATATCTGGTCAGAGTTAGATATGCAGGAGTGGAATTGAACATCAAGAAACAAACATTTAGAGTTGATAGTGAACACAGGAATGAGACTAATCGAAGAAAGCCCCAATAAAAAGCATATATTCGCCTAAACAAGGACGCCAGACAACTGGACTTTGAAGAGACACTGAAAGACTCTTAACATAAAAGGTTAGCTAAGCTAACAAAAGGAGGACTCGACTAACGCAGATAAACCGAAACAAGGAACCGACTAAGCAGGAACTTCAGAGAGCACCGACCGAAGGTGAACTCTACAAGAGAAAGAGACAGGTTAAAACAGACTCTAACAAGGATTGCCAAAACATGTTGGGCTTTCAGTATGTTGCAAATACGCAAGAACTACAGAATCCCTCAGGCCAAAGGCGGGGTGTAATTCTTCAAGAGTGGCAATCATCTGAATTACCACACACCAAGTATGGATACTCAAATACTTGAGAAATAAGAAAGGCTATACGACGACTCTTATTCACACTCTAAGGCAAAGCAAGCACATGTAAAATAACCAAAGGCTTGCAAAGGCAAGCGCAAGCCACAAAATTACTGGGGAGATGGAGAAATACCAAAGACCCGACTGGTGGTGAATCAAAACAAACTCCGCTGGGGAAACATTATAGAGTCACCCTAGGCTTGTTGTGGAGATAAATCAAATTTGAGCGTATAACAATCTATTATCACAGGTGGACATAATTGGCTTATACTCATGCATGTTGGAATTTTTTATAGCGTAATGCTCCATACAATGGAAATGTTACGCGTTTTAGTAGATGCAATGTAATGATACATGTTTAGCAATGCACTGGGGAAATCACATCAATAATCGGATACTGGGAAGACAATGAACTTCCGAATGATTATTCTTGCACATCTGATCTTTTGTAGAGAACATGCAATACGAACTTAAATGGGAAATCGAGATTCGAAACCATCGACCTCGAACAATTGACAACATTGAAGAAATAACTTCATGGGGAGTAATACTGCAAAAATAAATTACAGTTTCAGAGAAAATCTTGAATTTTGACCAAACTTCCAACTTCCTGGGGAGTAATACTGCAAAAATAAATTGCAGTTTCAGAGAAAATCTTGAATTCTGATCAAACTTCCAAATTCCTGTGGGATAAATTCTTTATCTTCCGTTAGAAAGAGGAAAGCTTCACCGAGGATGAAAACTTTCTCGCGCAGAACTTCTTTACGAAGATAGCTTCTACTAGGGAGTATAAAAATTCTTAAATAAATAGAATTCTACTCAGACCACACTGGGGATAACAGCGCCGGGGGGTAAAAATCTTCACCTGGGGAAGAACCAAACATCCTAGGACAAAAACTCCACTGCGGACATCTCAACAAAATCTGTTATATTCCGGGATGAAAGAGTTATAACTGGTGCTCCCATGTGCACCATACTGGGGAGAAGATGACTCTTGTTCTAGAAAGCTTGCTCCACTAGGGAATGAAAACTCGCTTCACTGGGGAATAAAGGGTACCTTACTCCGACAGGTTCTCAAAATTCGACTTCGACTAGGGACAAAGACTACCTCTTACACTGGGGAGCCGAAATAATTAGATGGTAACATCAACAATATTCATTGCACTGGGTATAACCATCTCCGCAAGAGTCAAACCGACAAGAATTTTGTATTGGGAACAGAAATCATTCCATTGCGGATGATGGTCGTCCTCATGAGGATAAAAAAAAGAATCTCCTATAGATAAACACGAGTCTCTTCAAGAACTCTGATATAGCAGGCCTTATTGGAGAGAGAGGGAGCACATCCCTCATTGAGTAGGAGAATACATACTTCATGGGGAGAATAAGTGCAAACCTCACTGGGGAAGCTGTAAAATGTTGACTTCAAGGGGAGTATATCAAGAATCTCCAGTTAGTTAGTAAAATGATTCTTCCTAGAAACCTGGAAAGAAACAGACTGCACTGAGAATGAGGAATACTCGGGCAAGAGTGTGCCTTCACTGGGGAAAATACTGCAAAAATAAATTGCAGTTCAGGGAAAATTTCGAACTCTGATCCAACTCCAAACTTCTTAGGGAAAAATCCGACATCTCTTTCCAAGGATAAAGAGAATCTTACTGGGAACTGGGACCTTCTGATGTAAGTCTTTGAGAAAAGTGACTTCGATTGGGGAATCACAAATTTTTTTTGAATAAAATAATTCTACCCAGGCCACACAGAGGATACTACTGTCGAGGGTAACAATCTTCACTTGAGGAAGAGAATGGCATCTTTGAACCATAAGCTTGAGGTTTGGAACTCTACCAAGGAAATATTTCAACCATACCCCACCACTAGGATAAAAGAAATTTAAACGACATTTGTCCATGCACTCTGCCCTAGGAAAAAAATAGGAGACCTGCTCCACTTGGCATAATAAACATGTTAATCAAACATCTCTTCAAGAAAACCTGACTTGGGCAAAACTTCCCTAGGGAGAAAAGATACGAACTTCAGAGAGACGATGAACGACAACCTCCCTAGGGAGATAAATACCTACCATGGAGATATATGGTATTGACTTCAAGAGGATATAACAAAGGTCTACAATCCAATGAAATGATCTTTCCCG